AGCACTTAAAGAGGAAGCAAAAAGTGTACACATGAAAACCCATATGTATCTGCATGAAGGTGTGGGAGTCAGTTACTACAGATTTATTTGTATAAGTATCTAGATAGGTGTACATGTCTATAGTTGTGCTCCATAGATTTGTATTTGGGCTTCAGGAGTGGGCCTTTAATGGACTCACTGCAGCTGTGATAATGTATGGTGCTAATTCCATACATAAAAATTACAGTAACTTAAGTAAAAAAACAAAAAATATGGAGCTGGGAAGGTGAAATAGGAAGAGGGGAGGGAAAGAATCATGAAAACTTGTGAAATTTCATTTTTTTTGTAAATTACCCTTTTTGACTATTTTGCTGCCAGCTCTAGTGTCCTGTAAGAAATAAAACTGGATCTCAGCATAATACACCTCTCAAAACAACACTTATGCCTTGTTGCAAAAATGAGTATGTGAGAGATGGTAATGGAGAGCAAGCAACAGAGGGAGGGGGGATGGAGTGAACGGGGACAGGGCCTTGGAAGGGGTGAGACAGGGATGGTGCCCTAGAAATGGAGCAGAGCGGTGTGCGGGGCAAGGTTGTTCTCTTTGTTGGAATTAGAAAGCTGGCAACCCTACTGCAGACTGATGTATTATCGTAACCCATATATCTCATGTAAGGTATCATATTTTCCTAATAAAACAAGTTATTTTTATATATTTGAATGATACAAAGGTAGGATGAAAATCAGAAAAAAAATGAATACTGTTTGTAAAACCTGGGCATGTTTCAGTAAAAATCCCTTTAAACTCAAAATGAAGGGGCTTAAATATCTTTTCAGTTGTAAATTGTAAATCTAGGCCCAATTGCGTATCTGTGTTTATGTCAGCACTGAGGCACATGCTTAATCCACCCCTTTTGGGGATGGCAGCCCTGCTGAAGTCAGTGGGACATAAGCTTATCTTCAAATGCTATCCTGAATTAGGTATGTTTTCCTAAACGGGTGCCTTCGTTTTTAAGCTCTACGTGGGAGAGATCTTGTCTGTATTGAGTGCTAAGTGTTTTACAAATAAGTATAAAATCCAAAAGCAAAATATTTGAGAATTATTTATTCAGAAGGTTTTATTATTAAATTAAATTGATTTGTCTTCATTATCCTTAGATACATGTAATAGTGTCACTGTTTAATCCTTCATCTTGTATTTTGTGGCTCTGCTTGCTCAGTTAGCATGAGACAAGATGATCCTCTACATTGTGATTCAAGGGGCTATTTATGCAAGGCAACACAGCTTCTAGAGATATGTGAATACCACAGAAAAGTATTTGCATGATTTTTAACATACATTTGTGTTAACTGTGTCTGGTCCTTTTGTATTCCTGTTCCAATATTTTCAAGCAAAAATATTGATGGGCAGAAAACAGCAAAGTTTTAAACAAGCATTGAAGAATATTTACACTACTTCCACATTCCATAATTCGTAAGCGTGAGTATTCTCATCAGGAAAGTGTTTGTAGGAGTTATGTTTATGCAGGTAGGGCACAGAAACATCATATATCTGAAGTAACCAGTCCAACTTATATTTTGAATAGCTCAAATAAACTGCTTGGCCAAAAGTTACAATTATTCATCAGTGGTCCAACACCAACTTCAACTGAGGCTAATGAGAATCTTCCCACTGCTTTCCATGGGATGTGACCAGATCCTACAAGGATCTTGGCAAATAAGCTCAAATAACTACCATTTGTGAAAATTCTATGCTGTTTATGCACCATTTCTGAACAGAGAGAAGCTAGGTTAATTGAATACATTATTTATCGTGAATCATTTACTCCTCTCTGCTCATTAGTTCCTGTCTTATGTTTCTTCATACCTTATGCATATCAGTCATCATTAAATTCTCCATTTTATTATAAAGCAAATGTTGCTCAAATGTAATCCAAAAGTATAAAAGTTGCTATACAAAAATAAAACTACTCTTTCTATGTATATTTTGAATGAATAACAGGAGACATTTACAAAGCAGGTAAATGTCAAAGTACTCAGCAGTGACACATGGAAAGGTATTCATTGGTATATTGTTGATTTGAAATTCAGTATGTAGTGTCTAATCCTGCACAGGACTGAGCCCCTCCTAGCCATTGCTCCATGTAAAATCAATTCCAATTATGTCAATGGGACAAATCTTATGGTCCTTATATTGATATAAACAGGAGATCGATTAAGTGAATTTGAAGTCAACTGAAATCTGACTAAGTACTGAATCAAAACTGTGCAAGGATTTCTGGGTTTGTGCCAATGAGCACTTCTGCTGGTGGGGCTTAACATCTCATTGGATCAAGTCCTAATATAGCAATAGCTTCATTAGAAGACATTGCCCTGTTTAAGCTGCCAATACACTAGGACAGAAAGCTACTCCTGATTGAAAAAAAGGATCCCTCATTTGATTATGCCAGTATCAATTGAACAGGCATGATTTCTGAAAAGGTGATCAGTTAGGATAGGAAAATTAAAATGTCCAGGGAAATCAACAAATATGGGAGAGCTGTCACTTTAGTGTCGCAGCAGGACAGGATGGAGAAAGTGAGACAGCAGAAAAGGGATTAGGATTAGGATTGCTTATGTACTTACATAATGTTTGGCCTAAATTTGATTACAGTACTCAAAATCAGTATTTGCCGTGTACCACAAAAGAAATTAATCTGTGTTAGGATCAAGCTATAGAGTTGCATAACTAATTCAGCAATTGTAAAATGTTTTAATTAGGTAATGTTTATGTTGCACTTTGAAGATATAAAGCACTGCATACATGCTACAGAGTAGCAGTGATGTTTGTTTGTTTTGTATTTCTGCAATGGCAATAATAATAATTTTCACATGTATAGAACCATTCCTATACATTACAGTTCGATTAAGCCTTATAACATGTCTGCATGGGCAATACAGTGTTATAGTCAATTTATCGATGGATACATCAAAGCACACATATCTTAAGCCCCAAAACAATGGCCTTCAATTTTGGGAATCCAATTTAGATTCATAAGGTTTGACTTTAATATGTGCTAAGCACTCGCAATTCCTACTGACTGCGTTTGAAGCTATTGATATCTCAATAGCTATCAGTATCTCTTAAAAACAGCTTTTATGTCTCAGAAGTTTGGCACCCAAAATTAGATACTTTTTAAAAATCTGGGCTAATGACTTTTCCAAGCCACATGGATAATCAAGAATAGGATCAGGAGTATCCTGCTTAATAGATAATTTATAAGAAGCGCCTTAGCTAAAAGTCACCCATTAATTATGGTCATCTGTGCTAAAGACAAACTATGATTTGGCACTCCTCCCCTATTCAATATAAAAAAAAACATGAGAAGTCTAGAATGAAATTTTACCCTTATTTCCTTTGTATTTGAAATGAACAATGTAAAATAAATATTTTATTGTTTTTTCTACTTTTTATTGATCCTAACACAATTATACTGTATAAGGTAAACCACCCAGTAGCTGACACTTTAACCATTTTTAGTGGTACACAGTGTTTTTGGTCAGTGCTATAAACAGTTGCATTTCAAGTTGAAACTGTGTTCTTTCCAAAGGAACTTATTTTTGGGAAGCTATAAAAATCTTTATTCCTTGACCCTGAAAGAAGTCTGCTTTTGAGCTTTCACCCTTTTGCAGGGTTTTACCATTACTTTAACAGTAATAGGGTGCGTTTACACTACACTGTTATTTCGAGATAACTAGCATTATTTCAAAATAACAATGCAAGTGTCTACACAGCCATTCTGTTATTTTGAAATAATTTTGAAATAACGGACGGCTTATTCCAAAATCTGTCAACCTCATTCTACAAGGAATACAGATCCAAAATAGCTATTTTGAAATAAGGTGTGTGTAGACGCTGCTATTTTAAAATAGCCCCTCAACAGGGCCATTCTATTCCTCCCCAGTGCCTCGTGGGGCTCTAAATTGAGATGGCATGTCTATATTAGGGAAGCCTGCCTCGGACTTATTTTGAGGCTTCCTTGCAGTATAGACGTGCTATTTCGAAATAAACTACTTCGGAATCACCATTCTGGAATAGCTTATTTCAAAATAATCTTATTTCAAAGTAATCTTCAAGATCCTGGCTCGTAACGCGGCAGAACAGCTGTTGCAGGTTGCTGAACACCCTTCACTAAGTCATGAGCAACTGCTTGACTCAACTGCATGACTGGCCAACACTGGGCTACTGAGGCTATGTCTATACTACAATGATCTATCAGAAAAAGATACGCAAATTGTGCTCCACGTTTTGTATACCTTTTTCCGATAGCTTTTTCGGAAGAGGCTTTTCTGAAATTTGGCCTGTCTACACCAGGCCAAATTTCGGAAAAGCCTCCTCTTTCAGAAGAGCCCTTTTTCCTCATGGAAGGAGGAAGACAGGTCTTCTGAAAGATCGCGTCTGCTCTTCCGCCAAAAATAAAGCAGAAAAGCAGACATATTCCCTGGACGGGGTGGAGTTTTTCCAGTAATGTAGACATAGCCTGAGAATGACTGAACTGCCAGATTAGGCAGATGACTGAACACCAGGCGGCACTCTTTTGAAGCTATGCTGCGACACATTTTTAACTATATTTACATACACAGCCATGCCCCACAATCTGAAATAGATACCATATAACTCAACTTTTGACATGGCAGTGCTGCACCATTTTATAAGTACAATATTTGATACTTTTGTTAGAAGAGATAACATATTAATGTATTTATAAATAGAGAAAAAAATCACTTCCATTTAAAGCTTGGTGCCCAAAGTGAACGCCTAATTCACCAGTCCTATATGGTCAAGACAGTCCTGCTAAAGTCCAGTATCATCACATTCCCCTCAATTATACTAATTATGCTGATACCAAAAATAAGAGCCAGAAAACTAGCCCCTTTTACTGGGTGGTGTTAAAGTTTCAGTATCTCAGAAAATAATTCAACATAAAGGTGGCATACAGTGTCTGTGGAAGGGTATGAAATGTCTGATAATTGTCTGTACACAGGCAACTTCAGAAGAGACTCTGTATGCATGTGAAACTGCAGCTCTGAGAAATCCTTGTGACCCAAAATGTCCTGCTGGGGGAGAACCTATGACCTGCAACTGAACCTAACAGTGAGAGGAGGTAAAAGTAGTTCCTATGCAAATGCCTGGGATATGCATTGCTCAATTACTTACAAAGTGAGACTAGATCTCTTACATCTATCCACACCAATTAAAATGAAAACTGGATTGATAGCAAATTCTCTGGCAAAGACCTTTGACCATAGTAGCTCTATATCTGTTTTAGGTGAGGCTCTAATTTGGGGGGGTTTAATGGTTCTTTTTTCCTTCATTGCTCCTCTGTGGCTGGCCACTTTTGTCAATTAAGTTCAGATGCTCTGGAGCCTCCTCTTGCACTGCATTGTGCAGCTAGCACAATGGAGTGACTGCAGTGTTTTGTGCCTGTGTTGAGAAGCTGGGGCAGGGTAGCAGCTAAATTTTGCACCCTCTAAAAAGGGAACAAAATCTGACACCCTCCCCTCCCCTTAGCCTGTCTTTCTTTCTTCCTCTTCTACAACTCTTGCCTCTTCTCCAGTCACAGAGGCAGACGTTTTCATCTGCACTCCTCAGCTAACCCTTCGTTTGCCCAGTTACCCCAAGGGATGTGACCCAGGTACCTAGCACTCACCTGATGCCTGATCTTCCTTGTTCCCACTCTCATCCTCTCCCTTACTCTTCTCCTTATCCTCTCATTCTCTTCTGGCTCTTTCTAGTCACAGTACAAGCTTGCTTAAGTTCCTCTGATTGTAAAAAAAACTTTCTCTGACCCCCAGGACCAATGTTCCCTCTCATCTTTTCCATCCCTGTGTGGATTTTTTGCCATCCATGTGCAGAATAATTTTATGTGCACCAAGGCATGTGCAAATGTATACCACCAGTACAAATAAAACCTCATTGTGGGTGCTCTGCTAATCTGCTGAGCGGCATTTGAATCTATCCTGAGTGGCTACACAAGCACACATCTTACAGGGGACACTGCCAGGGACCTGTTGGTGCCAACTGGCAGAGGGTGTGTATAGGGTTTTGCAGACATCTTTTTAATAGTTTGTCAAAGGTTAGTTAGCATGTGAGAGAGCCAGAAGCCTACTGCTGGTCCTAATCTTTGCAAAATATATGTACAGATAATATTTAAGGAGTTGTGTCTAGACTAAAAATTATCATTCTTAAAGTCTTGGAGTTAAGGCATGTCACTAGCAGCTGACATACCTCCTTCCTGAAAGGCACATTTCCAAGGTAATTAACATTTATCTCCTTCCAGTTGCATATTTTATGTCACACAGTTTGCCTGGTTGCGTACATTCAGGCATGAATTGACAGATTGTGAAACCTACAAGTGAGGAAATCTACAGGAAGAAACAAACAGCGGTGTCACGTTCATGAATAAAGACAAGGAAGTGATCTGGTATATCTTAGTGTGCAAAGAAACAGATTGAATCCTTTGCTTAGGAGGCAAACTGACCGTGAATAATGAGTTTCTTCTTAATTAAGTCTAGGCTCTAGAATGTGTTATGATTTTTTTATTTTAGTTTAGCCATTTATTTCCTATACTTCCACTTGCTACACTTGAGTGTCTATGCTTCGTTAAATAAAATTCTCCTTGATTTCACTCTAAACAAATGTATGGACTATGAATTAAGTAGAGTGATTATTTGGGACTAACACTGGTAAGAGGGGGTGCACCGCATCTTTGGAAACAGCAGATCAGTAAATAGTGGGGTTGCATGCTCCAAGGAGATGCCCAGATGGCTCCAGGAATGGAGAGTGTCTATCACTGATTTATAGATTGACAGTGGGACTTGCAAGGCCTAAAGGAGAGTGCTTGTGTTGTCCTTGGTCATTTGAAGTTGGGGATGACCCATGGCAGGCATAAAGCTTCCTCACCCTCAAGGCAGCAAGGTGCCTCACAACCCCTGGGTACCCCTGAAAAGCATTACACCCCCTCTGGACCTTACTTGCCTTTCGGACTATTGCCCCATCTCCCATTCATCTCTAAATTCAATGGGCATTATCTAATCACTGTCAAGTTCCTCTAAACAGGCCCATAGTTGGAGCAGGGGATGAGGGGTAGGGTCTGGGAGGGTTAGGATGCAAGTGGGACTTCTGACTTTGGGCAAGGAGGGATGCAGGTAGGAGGTGCGCATCTGGGAGGGAGTTATTGTGCAGGATGGGGTTCTGACCCAGAGGTGTAGCGAGGGGAAAGGTAGGGGGGGCAGTTGCCCCTGGGTGCCACGCTGGGGGGGGTGCCAATTTAGCTGCCTGTGAATAGCCCCTGTAGTGCAGCCTGGGCGAGACAGCAAGACCCGGCTTCTTTTTACGCTGACAGCCTCTGTGTGAGATCGGAGCAACACCACCATGGCAACCCTGAATCTGGGGGATCGAGGGGTGACAGCTGGAGCTCAGGGCTGACTCCAACTTCCGCCCTTTCCCAGTCTGGCTGGAGGCCAGGGTACAGCTGGAGGCGGGGCAGACCCTGGAGCTACGGACCTCCCAAGAGCTGCAGGAACAGTTGCAGACAAGGGCCGACCCCTAGAGCTAGGCCTCTCCACTCGCTGGAGGGGAGTAGATGGAAACCGAGGCCAATTCCTGGAGTCTCTTGCCCCCGTAAGGATCCGCCGCAAGAGCTGTGTCACGCTCACCACTGGCCAGCCCCAGTAAGCTACTCCTGCCTTCCAACGTCACCTCCCACTGCCATGCCTGGGTATGTCTACACTGCATTCCTCTTTCGAGGGAGGAATGGAAATGCAGCCGAGTGAAATGGCAAATGAAGCGCGGATTTGAACTTCCCGTGCTTCATTTGCATAATCGCGTTCGGCCGCTATTTTGAAATACCCTATTTCGATGCAGTTATTTTGAAAGAAACCCCTTCTTTCGAAATAACCATTAAACCTCATTTTTTAAGAAGTCAGGGTTATTTCAAAAGAAGGGGTTTCTTTCAAAATAACCGTGTCTACATGGCATTTTTTAATCTCGAAATAGCGTATTTCGAAATAGCGGCCAGATGCGATTATGCAAATAAAGCGCGGGAAATTCAAATCCGCGCTTCATTTGCCATTTCGCTCGGCTGCATTTGCATTCCTCTCTCGAAAGAGGAATGTAGTGTAGACATACTGCTTGACTCCTGCACCCTTACTCCCCGTCCCTGAGCCCGCCCCCGAACCCAACCCCCTGCATGACTCCTTAATTCCATCCGTGCCCTTCCAAACACCAACCCCCTGTCCCAAACCTGCCTCCTGACACCGGAACCTCCTGCCCTGAACCCCACTACATGTCCCATCCCACTGCTTAAGAACATGAGCAAAGCCAGGGACATTGCTCAGTGCTCTACAGAGACTGGCTCCCACTCCGGCTACGCTGCAGCAGCTGCTCACAATGCAATGCCACACGGGACCCACATAGCAGTTTTAACCCTGGTCCCTTTGCAGCCCAGCCTCATCAACCTCCTTCGGAAGCTCTGAGCCCCAAACTTCCTACGAGCCACTGTCATGCTGCCAGGCATGGCGCGGACACACCGGCTGCACACAGCGCGCTCCCCCCACATGGAGTTCAAGCAATTCTCTGATCTCAGCCGCCTACATGGGTGCGATTCATTGTCACCCCAAACCGCCGGGCCCCATTTGCCGCTTCCCATGTGGCAAATTCTGCACTTTGGCCGGATGGGGGCAGCACGGAGGGTCCAAGCCAAACCCTGTTCGCATGTTCCCCTCCCAGCGCAGATTGGAATGTGTAAAGTCCCACAGGTGGTAACATGATTGGGGGGGTGCAAATTTTGCCTTTGTCCCCAGCCACATAACACCTTGCTACACCACTCTTCTGACCTGCGGCAGGGTTGTGGGGTGGAGATGTGGGGGGTGGGAACAGGCTCCGGGGTGGGGCTGGGAGTGCAGGTGTGGGGGGTTCGGGGTGCTGGCTCTGGCCAGTGATGCTTACCTCAGGCAGCTCCCAAGTCAGCGGCTCAGCGGGGTTAATGCATGCTCCCCCATGTCCTGATCCTCCATCGCTCCTGGAAGCTGCCACAGTGGTGCTAAATGCTTCCTGCATACATCACGCTGCCCCCGTAGTTCCTATAGGCCAGGGATGGCCAACCCATTAAACAAAGAGAGCTGAAAGAGGGTCAAAAAAAAATGCAAAGAGCTGCACCAGAATTGTTAAGCAAGAGCACAA